TTATTATTATTATTATTATTATTATTATTATTATTATTATTATTATTTTGTAACTATTATTATCATCATTGATATTATTATTGTGTGAAATATACAGATTTGTTTCGACAAGTCTTCATAGTCTCGTAATCAGAAATATTTGGCACGCAGTGATAGTGCATTCGATGCAATGTTTTTCCTTTTTACTCGCTCGTTCGAAGTATTTTGTAAGTATTATTAAATTGGGCTATACATAGAAAGAAAAAAAAAAAAAAAAAAAAAGAAAAAAAAGAAAAAAAAATAACATCGAAATGAATCAATGTTGAGAGAAAAAAACGAACGTATATTGATTGTAAACTTAGCTACGAATCCTTTTTTTCACAGCGCGTCAATGTCTTATCTATGTGTTTGTCTCATGATATAGCGCAGTTGTATTTAATTCGGATGGAAATCGATATCTCATTTCATGAATAGAGTATGTATGTACCTGTCTCACGTTTTTTCATATTACTTAAGATTTTTACTGCGCAAATTATATAAATACGTATATGTATATCTGGTCCATATTGTGTGAATGTGTCATCAAGGCATCAAGGGAACTTTCTTTATCATACTCTTGTTCGTTTCGCCATTGTAAAATGTCGTCGTCATCACACACACACATACACATACACACACACACACACAGCCGTCATGATATTGCGTGCAATCGATACACCAAATAGTCTAATGTTTTTTGATAATTAATTATAGATGACAAAAATTGTATATTAGATATAAATACCATGGTAGTTTTTATAGTTTTTGCAGTACATTATTTATTGTATCAGAGGATGAAATGTCTTGAATGTCGATTAAACGAGGAATCTCATAGCACGATGCCTTGCTGAATACGCGTGCATATTTGAAACATTAATTTCCGTGCTCGTTTTCGCGGCATTCGGACGAACTTGCGTTGCCAAAACTTCAGTGACATTAAATTTTTAATGTTACAAAGGTGAGAATCGCGACGAATAAGACTCAAGATCAGTTTCTTTTTTTTCTTTTTTTTTTATTTTTTCGTTGTTGGTTTTAACACGTAATTTTCACACACGCTTTTTATACTTTCGAAAATGTTAGCATTATTTAATCGAATTGTACTCGCCGAATGGTATGCTACGAACGAAAGAAATTCTTTCCAGAGCAAGGGCGCCCATTAGAAATCGCAAGATAGTTATGTACCCTGGTGTTAAATTTAAATCAGTCGATACGTCGTTTTGCACGGTTATCAATTGCATAATTTCGACCGATTGTTTCCGTAAATTTTTATAAAAGCATAATGCTATCCTTTGTTGATCGAATTCCAAAAGTTTAAACATCGTTCCTCGTGGAAGATATTTTAGTTCTCCAATACAAAGAAGTTTTCCAAGAAGGACATTCGAGTGGCCTACCCTAAAAGTGTACATTATTTTACAGTTCCACACGATACTTGTATTTTGGATGTATGTGCTACTTTCTTGCCCTTTTGTGCTCTCATGTTTTTTTT